CCATATTTGCATCGATTTACTTGCCGCCGAGTTTTCCAAAAATGGCTTCGATTAATTACTCAAATCTGCCAAAACACCACTAAACATCTTAGTACTAATCATTAGGTTTTCGTGTGCGTTAATGGACTGTGGGTCGGAGAACCGCGAGTCAAACAGTTTGAGACGCACATGGCTGTCATGACCTGCAGCAATTCCGGCATCATTAAGAGGCGTTTGGCGGATTTGAGTAATTCAATTAACCCACTAAGCCCGCGATTTCTGTGCAATTGTGTTTTGACATCGTTGAACCTGAAGGTGTGTGGCCGGGTCCTGTCAAATGAGTTGCAAAATGTCATATTGCCTCCCCAATGCTACATAGTGTTCGGGCACTCGGGTGCAGAGCAGTCACTTGGTTGCTTTTTCCGACTTAACATCAGGCGCGTTAAATGCATCCATCTTATGTATTAAGCTTAGTTTGTATTTTTTTCTAAAGCAGCACAAGTGTTCGCTCTTTCTTTCGATAACCTAAGGATACATGTTACCTTGTGGTTGACAGGTGCCTGTATCCCTAATAGAAAAGCCTCTATGGGTGAATGAATTGCTTAAAAGAGCGATTGAATTTTGCAAACCGGGCTTTACTACTGCAGATATCGGAGTGCGTGGAGTTGTTGAGCCGTTTAGCAAATCGCTTCCTCCCTGGTCATGAAGGGATTTGCGCGAAAAATGTTGTCGGAATGCAGGAATAAAGGAGATGGGAAATGTGCGCGCTGCCCACAAACTCGTGTCACGCCGGATGGGATCAAACGGCCAGACACCCGATTTCGCGTAGGGTGTTTTATCAGCAGGCCAAACGCCTCCTGAAGCAAACATGTTTAGGCCTAGTCGACGGTTCGCCCCCGTTTGACGACATACATATTTTGGCTGTGCATTTTGCCCCACCCCACCCCCGCCCAAATCGTCTCTATTAAGAGTGATCTGTTTGCAAAAGAAATAGACTGAGCTTGGCCAAACACAACTCAGAGTGTTTCTCGTGAAATTTCTGGCGCCTTCTATGCAGTGCCTTTCTTTTTTTATTTTCTGCGCGCTGCGGTGATTCTGTAAAATATTGCCGCGCTGGTACTGGTTGCAGATCGGTGAAAAAAAAGGCAGATGCTAAATGATTTGTCGTCCGCAGTAAGTAACCACTTATAAGGAAGCCGCAGGCCTATGAGGGCTTTGAATCAGCAGCTTTTTCCCCGCCTGGTGCATATGCCAACTTTTCTCTCCAAACTTCTGCCACAAGTAAAATAGCTGCGTGTTAAGGTCAACTCTCCGTCAACTAGACACCGGACCTTTATGCGTTATCGGCAGAAAATGGAGAGCCAGAATTATAATCCTCCGCTATTGCTGCCACCCAGTTCCTCGGAGGCAAGCGCAACAGTCCATCGTATCCTCAGTCTAGGTATACCTTGTATAGTTTTCATTGCTCATAGCAATGAGAAAGCGAGTCCCGGGAATTGGTGGCGAAGAAGGAGGTGGCACTCTCGTTGGAACAAGAACTCTCCGTCTTCTTGTAAGAAATTTTTTGGATGGGACGCGCTCCGATCGGCCCTACGAGGAGACATTTTCGCCCTTCAAAAGGACTTTGCGTATGCGCGCAGATAATAAAGCGACAGTTTTCTTTATTGTAGCCAGGTGCGTGCTCACTGATCTGATTGCGACGACCATAGACACACTGTGGGGGTACGCTCTCAAGAATTACTAATTTAGTTGAGCCAATTGCGAAAAACTCGCGGCCTTGGTGGGAGTCGAACCCACACAACAGGGGAGGCTTGTGCGCAGCCAACGCTCTACCATTGAACTACGAGGCTCACCGTGGGCCGTGAATTCAGTTACACGCTGGTCGATTTACTCCCCCAACCTACTGATCGTATGGAATCCACCAATACGGATGCAGGAAGCTGACTGTCTAGGCAGGACAGTCATCTAGAGTCTACCACAATGAATATTAGGCTCAGTTTATTATTATGGGGGGTTCAGATCTGCCAAACACCCCCTAATAATTCCTAATTTAACCAATTTTCGGACATCCCCATATGGCTCGGTCTTCTAATAGTGATCACCTGCAGCGTGTAAACAGCTATGTGCAGGCACTCCGAGCTGTTGCAAGCGGAGTGTTTGACAGAAGGCGCCACATCAGCTTGCAGCAGCTTATGGTCCGTCTTTTTTCTCCTATGTGTCTTTGACCACCGACCAACGGCGGGATCAGCTTAATGGGTGGGCCGCCGCACCACAGTCAGCGTTCAATAAAATACCTGCGCTGAGCCGATGAAGACGCCTTCTCCTGCTGCTGATCGCAAGACTGAACATGTTTGCACACACTAAAATCTGTTGGTAGTCTGAGGCAGGGTCGGTCGGCATAGAGGAATTCAGAGGCGCACTTGTCGCCTTGTCCGCTCCCTTGGTGTGTCCTATAAGTGCTATTTAATTTAGTTGGCTTGTGCTACTAAAATCTAGCCGAGTTTTTCACTCAGTGTGTGGACGGGGTGCTGACTGTCCGGAAAGACGATGCCTAGCTAACAAGCTTGCACAACCATCAATGCCGTGGTGCTTAACCTGGTGATCAAAACCACAACCCTCCAGATTATTCTGCCTGTTGTTTTTGTGGTAGGTATCGCTTATATCTTCCTCACCCCGCCCCCTTATAGGCCGCGGGAGCAGGAACCACCCGTAATACAGGTAACATTGTTCTAAATTCCGGAAAAAAATTCCGTTAGGTTAAGATAAGCGGGACGGATAAGGATTGAATTGGGATCAGAAAACGAGAATATGTACCTCTTTTGGAAGTTAGCGCAAGACCACCCGTATTAGGGGACGGGGGTGGCACCCACGTAATTCCGACCGTCTTTATTTATTAGCGGTAGTAACAGAAAGTTAATGATTATGCAGTCCAGATGTTTTCCCGAGCTAGTTAATGCAATAAGTTCGTATTTCACATAGACTTAACAAATTCATAGCATTCATATGTAATGAGGAGGTTGTGACATGATAAAGTATTCGTACCAGGTGCACAGAGGTTGCATTTAAGCGCTGCCAACAATCATCCAACGGCGGTGGCTCCAAAAAGGGGATCAATGAAGCACAAACAAGGTGCTTTTGGAGTGAACTTTGTGAGACCCGGAGGGTTAAACCACGTAGTTGGGTAGACAAAAAGATGCTATGTTGTCGCGTTAAGTTTAATTTTGAGCACATAGGCTTGTGGTGCGCATTAAGCGTAGGCCTCACACCAGGTCAGCCCTTACTCCCTTACTTCCATTGTTACAAACGCGGGGAGGCAGGACTGTAGCGGACTAACTGCGCGCGCTATATGTTTCCACACACCCAACTAGCGTCTGTCTTCGTAGTTAATTACTATGACACTCTTTTATACAGATAGATAGATAGGCATGCGCACAGATAGAGAAGGAGGAGAAGTCGATCACTGGGATCATAATTTTATTCGTCTGAGCTTTCGGGCTCTTACTGGAGTCCGGCATACATAGCCCTGCACAGGCATCTCCGGACTGACGACACTGGCGGCTGATTGACCCCTTCCCTTCTATAACTGTTGCTTGTTTTTTGTTGACGCTTTTATATCTGAAGATGAACTGCAGTAAAAGTTCGAGAGCTCAGCCATATAAAACCATAATTCTGATGATCGACACGTCTTCTCCTTCTATGTCTATATACGTACCTGGGATGCGAACATTTGCTTCAAATCTTATACTACCAAGACACGTCAAAATGATTTGACTTCGTGGCTTGTGAACTGGCAAACCAGCTCGTTCCTGGTTGTTACTATGTGTCAGCTTGCACTGACTCCTCTTTAGCGTGGTCTTGAGAACAAATCTCTTCAATGAACTATTCATGTTTTTTTTTTTGAATTTTTTTTTGCTGCGTCTGTAGGCATCAACACTTCTGCGGAACGCGTACACTCTAATTAAGCTAAGTCGACCTGTGAGCACACACCCATGTCCAATCCTCTTGCTTTTGCCTTAACACGGTGAAGTTTGGAAGCCACAGCGAGTTAGATGTTTAGCCAGCAACCCTCTGACTTTGCTGCACGTCCTCGACAAGATTCGTTTCGTCATCTATCGTGACAGATGACCTAGCGGCTCTGGCATAGCCCGAGGTGGGTATAGGTTTCTGATGAGCGGAGGGGTCACTTACTGCGATGCATTGGATTTGGGAGGGGGAGGGTCGCAGCGCCCATCATCACTGTCCTAATGTGTCATCCTTACTGCCTTTTCCTACAGGTGGCCTCTGAGAAGGGCGCGGTCTGGGGTCTGCTGACGGAACGCCAATTGCGTCTGGATCTCTGTATGCAACTACGCTTGTTTGAGGCTGACGTACACCAGTCACTGGAGAAGCTGCGCCGTGAAGTGCCAG